CATCATAAAATCAATAGACCGATTTTGTGTGGCGTCATATAACAAAAGCAAAGAAAACTGTGAACAATAATCAATTCAATTGTTACTTGTTTTGAGATGTCAATTGTATATAAAGGAATAAAGGACGTTAATTTCTTTTAAATAAATGACGTAGTTGTCTTACGCTATTGAAGTTCGCCTTATTCATTGAAAAAAGCCATGTTGACATGTGTTGACTAGCATGTATGTTGATTGAAATCAAAATTGAATACTTTTTGTTCCGACTTTCGGTACGAAAGTATCGGAATATTTGTGCTCGGGGTGGGTTTTTTTTTCTTCAGACAAATTTCGACTTTTTAACTAGCCATTTTTGACGGAATTTTTTATATCATTCAAAAGCTATTGTTGTCCTGAGCTTAAATTTGAAAATAAATTTCACCTGTGATCATTTTTCGTAGAGTTATGCGGGTTTTAAGATTGCAATTTTGGCTATTTTGACCAATTTGGGACAATTAACGCGCTATATAATTCGCGCTATTAACGCGTAAGCGGAGATTTAATCCGTCTTATAAATCGTTCCAAATTGGTTGAACGAAGCTTATTTGCCATAATTGATATGTTAAAAGGAACGAAATCTCTCATTTTGTACTTTATATGGCGTGTGGGGGGATGATTTTCATAAAAAATTTCAAATTTTAGAAAAAAAAATTTCATTTTATTTTATTTCATTTAATTTTTTTATGCTGTTACTGCTGCTCCATAAACCTTAAAAGGCAGTCGGAACATTCAAGGCTTCACCCTGATACGAGCAGTCTTGTTTCTTTTTTACACTTCTTCTAAACAATCCCGGGTTGACCAAAACTTCTTGTCATACAATTTCGATATATCAAAGAATTCTTGCCATGCAGTTTCATTCGATTCCATACGTTAAAAAAATTCTTTGAAACCTCTATGTAAAGTACAGAGTGGTAGATTTCGCTCCTAGTAACAAGTCAGTTATGGCAAACGATTTTCCTTCAACCAACTTGGAACAGTTTTGAAGACAGATAAATCTCCGCTTACGCATTAATAGCGCGAAATATATCGCGCGTTAATTGTCCCAAATTGGTCAAAATGGCAATCTTTAAACACCCATAACAGTACGAAAAATAATCACAGGTGAAATATATTTTAGTTTAAGCTCAGGACATATTGACATGTGTTGACTAGCATGTATGTTGATTGAAATCAAAATTGAATACTTTTTGTTCCGACTTTCGATACGAAAGAAACGGAATATTTGTGCTCGGGGTGGGTTTTTTTTCTTCAGACAAATTTCGACTTTTTAACTAGCCATTTTTGACGGAACTTTTTTATATCATTCGAAAGCTATTGTTATCCTAAGCTCAAATTTGAAAAGATATTTCACCTCTGATCATTTTTTGTAAAGTTATGGGGGTTTAAAGATTGCCTTTTTGGCCAATTTGGGACAATTAACGCGCGATATATTTCGCGCTATTAACGCGTAAGCGGAGAGTTAATCCGTCTTAGAAATCGTTCCAAATTGGTTTTTTTTTCTAAATTCAAATTCTTAAACCGAACGCAATTGATAACTACTTTGCTTTACTCAAAACACTAAAGGTTGGACGGTCTTGCATATACAATGCATAGGAAACAACCTGAATTATCTTAGAGCAGTATTTCGCAAAAAATATAAGGAAAGTAACAAACTGTTAAAATATGGCAAAATTTTTCGACGATGATTATTTGTTATTTTTGAAATTATCAGACATTGATCGAGGCATACATAAACATACCATACAAAAAAAAGTTGTCAGTGTTTTTGGAAAAAATATTGAGCGAAAAGGAAAACATCCAACATTAATGTATCCAGGACTACATTGCGCACACAAAAAATTAAACTTTGCACGCAAAAAAAAAAGTTTTTTGGGAATGTTTGTTTGAGCACAAAACTCGATTTGCGGTTGAAAAAAAAACGAAAAAAATTTTCGGGGCAATTTCAAAAATACTTCGACAATTTTTTGTGTCGCCATCATAAAAATGCTAGCCATAAATTATCCATATATGGGAATTGTATGATTAGCATTTTTTTCAAAAAAACGAAAAACCTCAATTTTTTTTTATCACCAGACTGTTTTGTTAGACCAAACATCCGCAGAAATTAGTTTATTTTTTTCAATCTTTTTTCGAAATTGTACCAAAGTTTTATGACAAGCATTTTTCCATACATTTGATGTATGGAATTGTATGATAGGCATTTTTGGTGTATAGATGGAAACCCGGGATTTCAAGGCTCTGAGAAAATTGTACAATTCTTTCATTTGATTTGAAAAATTTAGAGGCGAACGCTCATCCTGCGATGATTTGAATCTTGATATGTTCAAACCACATTTTTGAAGATTTTTTTGAAATGTAAATCAACTAGGCAGTTTTGAAATGCTCGCACTAAGATTGCAATTTATCATGTTACAATTACGAGTAATACACATATTGATCAAATTTTGTCATGGAAAAAAATAAGAAGATTCTGAACTGATCACTGGGAGTTCACTTACATTGATATTGAAGTTCTTTAATGTTGATGGGAATTGCAGAATGTTTTTACCTCGCAAAAAAAACGTATCAAAATATCGTGTTCAGAAATATCAGATTTTCTAAATAAAACACCAGGCTGTTTTACGGAACATTCTGGAGTCTAATAAAATACACGACAAGCAAATTGGACGATTATAGACTCACTGAACGCAGGCAATAACTTGCGTTCAAGTTGCGTGAAAAATTTTTTCAAGACTTCAATTAATAATTTGTTGAGTAAAAGAAAGTTCCCTAACCACAAATCAAGTTTGACAGTCACAGTTGTACAACCTAATAATACGCTTTTTCAATTTATTGTTTCATAAACAGCGTGGCAAAAAAGCAAAAACAGAATATAAAAATGTCATACATTCCAAAACGAGTCACTTTACTCCTTACTCCACAGCGTGGCAAAAAAGCAAAAACAGAATATAAAAATGTCATACATTCCAAAACGAGTCACTTTACTCCTTTAAGACCCGTATACAATTAGCGCATAGTTTCCAGTTTGCTAACGAAATTTGTAAGAATTCATTGAACAGTTAAACGTGCACTATATTCTCAAATTTTGCTCATTTTTTGGAGCTAAGACTCAAATTCTCGGGTAATGACACAATTAATTATGCTATTAAACCTACGGTTAAGATAGTAAAAATTGAAAATTTTGTTCAAAATTGACAATTTGTAAAAACAAAGTTTGTCGATAATGTTGAGCAAACAAAAAATTTCACGAAAAAAATCGTATTCACCCCAGGAATAATCTAACTGAAAGTCGAACTATACATTTGATCTGAGTCGAAATAAAATCAAACTGAGAAGAAACATAGAATCAAACTGAGTCGGAAACAGTGTTTCACAAAGTCTCAACATAAGTTCTTAGAAAAATTTCTTTTAAATTCATGCAACTTGAGCAAAAACAACACTGCTTTAAAAACCTCCCTTAGAATGATGCTTAAAAAATTCACTCGCTGACGATTGCTTACCTGAAACCATAAATTTAGTTTTTTTCGAAAAACATCATGGAATTAAAATTTCGAGATCACACAGCTATCGCGACTAAAAAATCAACGAATTTTTACAAAAGTTAACTGCCAACTTGAGGTTTTTTATTTCGCTGAATTCGGAATTTTAACTGAACAAGACTGCTCGTATCAGGGCGAAGCCTTGAATGTTCCGACTGCCTTTTAAGGTCTATGGATCAGTGATAACATAAAAAGCTAAATGTAATGAAATCAATTGAAGTAGCACTTGCGATTTTTTGCAAAAATCATCCAACCATATGCCATATAAAGTACAAAGTGATAAATTTCTCCCCTAGTAACAAATCAATTATGGTAAATAAGCTTCTTTCAACTAATTTGGAACAATTTCTAAGACGTATTAAATCTCCGCTTAGGCGTTAATAGCGCAGAATATATCGCGCGTTAATTGTCCCAAATTGGCCAAAATGCCAATCTTTAAACCCCTATAACTTTATACGAAAAGTTATCACGGGTGAAGTTTCTTTTCAAATTTAAGCTCAAGACAACAATACCTTTTGAATGATAGAAAAAAATCCGCCAAAAGTGGCTAGTTAAAAAGTCGAAATTTGTGTGAAGAAAAAAACCCACCACGAGCACAAATATTCCGTTACTTTTGTTACGAAAGTCGGAACAAAAAATAAATGTTGCAACGGCGCATTTCGATTTCAGCAAATGTTCATGCGCTGGTCATGTAATGACTCACCATATCACGTATAGAATAAACTATAAAGTTTTCTTTTGGTCAAATTGCTTGTTCAAGGCGTATATGGAAAATAACCAAATAATTATAGAAAAGGACAAGATAATCTAACCCGAACGGATTTGGTCGAATTTGATCGTAACATAACCAATATTGGTGGAAATAAAGCTTGCATGTTTACAACTGGTCTATGGTCGCGCTATTCGAAAGATACGCGTTTCTGGTTGCACTGATTGAAGTAAAAAACCGAAACCTCCACCCGGGGAGAATTATGCGGCTCCACTATTGAATCCAGATTCAATCAGGCTTTGGTAGAACTGAAGTTGACAAACAGTTATTTGGCACGGCTGAGGGTCGCCAACTACTTTGTTTGTTTCATGCGAACGGTTGTCTTGGCTACATTCTTATCAACAGTGCCTCCAAAAAAAATCTCGAGGAACACTTTCTCAAAAAAAAACACTTCATACAAAAGTTTCTAGCACCATCAGAAATGAAGCTCAAGGATGAATCACAGCACAGTTTGATTTGCATAGCTTCTATTGTGGAAGATCCATATGATGCTTCCTTTATTAATAATTGAATTAGTCTTCTGAAATACCATTGATGGACTGATATCTCTACAGCGCAGTTTTTTAATCCGACACGTGAATAAAATTTATGAAACAATATAATCACAACAGGAAACAAAGCGATTCCTGTTTACTTGAGCATTCTATTTGGAAAAAAAATCTGATAAAACTTCAAATTGAAGTTTTTTTTTCTATTTTTTATTCATTTTTGTAAGACACAACAATAATAGCTTAGATTCATTTAAATGGCTAGAAAACGGTTCAATTTGATAGACACCTCTTCAAAATCGAAAGAGAAAGGAATCCCATTACCCAGTGGACACAACTGGGATAACTACTCTAAACTGGATAAACCAGTCAAAACATCGGAAGCTGACTGGAAGTCTACAATTTGCTCGTTTATAAAAGGTACGTAGTAATTCTGACCTGGTTTCATCGGAGCTAAAACACAATCAACAAAAAGGCGAATGTCCTCTTGATTGTTAAGCTAGATACAAACCAATTTTTTCCTGATAGCTTTCCAGGAAGTCTAGTTTTTTTAAAATAGAAAAGCAGACGTTGGAAATATTTATTATTCAGCTTTTATATTACGAACTTCCAAATTCAGCTTTGCTATTTAGAAGAATTCCAGAAAACTTCAGAAGACTTCCAGAAAACTCATCTTGAGAAGCACCACTAAAAACAGCTTCTGTCGGGCAAAAATTGGTGGAAGAAAACAATACATTAGCAATAAATTGAGATTTCAAACTTAACCAATCAGCGAGAGCGTCAGATAAGAATAAAAAGAGTGCTCCTTTTTCAGGTGGAAGGATGCTATCACTTCTGTTTGTGTTGGTGAGTGTGCCCCGTCTCTTCTCCTATGTGTTGTACTCTGTACATGAGAACCATCTGTGGTTCAGCAGAATCACCCAAGTGGAGAAGGAGATCTCCTTCAGGACAGAGAGTGGTCTTTACTACTCCTACATGAAGCAAATCATCATGGCCAAAGTGAGAGCAGGACATACACAGAATACGTATTGTAAAATAAATTCCAAAATTTTTTTGATTTACTGCGTTGAAAAATAAAACTGAGAAAAAAGCGACCGAGAATGTAATAAAAAAATGTGGCGTTGTAAAAACTGAGAACAAAATGAGAGCGTGAGGCGAACTATCGCTTGAAATCGACGACTCGTTTTTTGCTCAACAAAAATTTCAAATCTTTTATCGAAATCCTTCACTCTCGAATTTGTGTTTCGAGCATACAGTTAAAATCAATTTTATCATCGATTTTTCATTTTTGATTTAAATTACTTCGCTAAATGTTGGAACAACCGTTTCCAGGATTTTGATGTGGGATTGAAACTACTTCTTGACGACAAAAAGACTGAGTTTGGGAGGACAATCAACGTCGTGGAAAGATTCAACGTGTTCCAAGAAATAGCACTGGCCAAAATATACCTCAACTCTGACTATATCAGGACTAACATGCACCCAATGGTGTTTTATGTTCAGGTTCTCTTCGCACTTCAAGCTCTGCTGGCCTTCAGTCTGATTGCAATCACTTATGAAGTGTCAAAATCATTTGTAGGTTAGTTTGGGGTTTCACAAGACTTATTTCAACTTATATTTGTAGCATCAATTGACCTATCTTTAATCCTTTTGCCAATTAGAAGGGCGCATAAACTGGTTGTAAGTTCATAATTTTACTCCCAGTACTAATCAAGTTCATTCCAAATAAAACAGTGTGATGGGAGAGCTTTAAATAATATTCATTTTTCGATACTGCTGGAAGTTAACTTGACTGATGAGGTTTATATTTTCAAAGCCCAAATACAAACTTCAAACAAGGATAGCCAGTCGCTGTGCATGCAGCACAAAAAGTTCAAGCACTTTCATAAAAAACATTTTTTCTTCAAATTTGTGCCGTTTTTTGTAGGTGGCGTGATGAGAGTAGAGTAATCACGAAATTTAGAATTATAGTGAATTAATTTCAATCGACAAGAGCTGTTCTCAGAAAAGACGACAGATTTTCTCACACTGAAAAAAACCAACGAAGTTTCCGAACATTTTTTCGAATTTTTGACAGATATTTTTTGAAACATTTTGTGCAAAATTCTTTTGACAAAGAATCGCAAGAAATAAAGCTTCGAAATATTTTATTGGAGTAAATCTTAATTTTTCACGTGCAAATGACCAATTTTCATTTAGCCAAGGTTGTTTGCTTGCTTTACTCGCTTGAAAATAGACCTTATAACAAAAATAGACCTCATATCAAAAAATACCTTATAACAAAAATAGACCTTATAACAAAAATAGACATTATAACAAAAATAGACCTTATATCAAAAATAGACCTTATAACAAAAATAGATCTTATATCAAAAATAGACCTTATAACAAAAATAGACCTTATAACAAAAATAGACCTTATGTCAAAAATAGACCTTATAACAAAAATAGACCTTATAACAAAAATAGACCTTATAACAAAAATAGACCTTATATCAAAAATAGACCTTATAACAAAAATAGATCTTATAGCAAAATTAGCCCCAATTTCAGTGTGGTCACAACAAAAATTGTGAGTGGTCAAATTTCAGTGGTCAAACTTAGCTGTAAATGATAAGTTTTATAAAAAAAATTTTCACTTCATTATCTGAATGTTTTAGGTACTTTAGTGTGTGGCTCTTTACTTATAACCCACATAACAGATATAACTCGAGCTGAACAATCTCCCGCTCTGCGAGAAAATTGGGCAACTCCCTTCTACTTCACATTCATTCTCTGCACCTGTTTCATTTTCAGACCTTATCAAACAAAATTTAAACTCTCATTTTTCTATTTTGTTGCTTTTATTACTTGCACATTATTTTGTCTGTTATGGCAGTTCAACCAGTTTGTAATTTTACTTACATCCATAGCTATTTTTGGGACATCCTTATTGGGCTTCACTCCAAAATTAAAATCAATTACAATTTTATGGGTTCAGTGGTTTTCGCTATTGGTTTGTTCATACGCGCAGTTCGGAAATAAGTTCATTTTGTGTTCGTTTCCGATGAGTTTAATTCCGATTGCAAATGTGGTTTTGATCATGTTTCCTGACATTGAGTCGAGATTGAAGCGATTTTGGAGTAAAATGGTAGTTGCAGTTATGGCCTTTGTGATTACTCTCGGAACCACTTTAGCTTCAAGGTAATATTTTTTAATGAATTTGACTTCTTGAGTTATTATTAATTATTCTTAAGAAACTAAAAGAAACTAAGAAGAAGTAAAAAGACCTTTTTTGCCTGTACACTTTTTTTTTTAAATTCAAGTTTGAAACGTAGTTTGAATTATTTCAAGATTTTTATTGCCGCCGCTAGAACAATCCAATCAAGTTTTGCTTTTAGTTTGTTCCTGAAAAACTACTTCAATGTTCAAGAGGGAACCCACATCATGAAATTTCTCTTCTTCAAATTCTTCTCCTGGGAAGAAAACCTACTCAGAACTGATTTCGACTCCAACTTGTATTTGTGCGAGAGGATTTTCAATCCAATGCCCGTTGACGTTTTGAAAAAACTGAATTCCAAGGGCATATTGGCACCATATATGTTTGGAACAGTGGTCATGCTAGTTTTGCTGCTCGTATCACTAGTTAGGTAAGTTTGCTTATGACTAAAGAGCTGCGCATTGATAGCCTAAACTAAATATCATACAAACAGTTGTAATGAAAAAAAAAAATAAGACCCCGTGAAATTCGAAGTTAAGATAAAACGTACCAACCAATTGTATCGAAATTAAGAAGAAAGTAAGATATTTAGATATTAAGAAAATAAAATATAAGATATAAATTATATTAGGTATCCTCAAAAATGAAGCTCCAAATAATCGATTTATATTTATTTCTCCACATTTAGATTGTTTTAATTGATAAAATTGAATAAAAATTTAAAGCTGGCCATCCAAAGACCCCTTTTTTGTACTGGTTTACGACATCATTTTGAAGAGGTTGGCACGCGTTGAATAAAACTCATATTTTGGGACAAAATCTTCTAAAAAAACTGCGTTGAACAGTTTTTTTTTGCTTTTCTTCTAAAAAAATTCGCTGAAAGTTTCATTAACCTTAATTTTTGTTTTAGTTTTTTGGGAGAGCTGGGAAAATGACCATGGTTGACGTGGAAAAAGTTCAAAAAAATTTCCAAGCGAGCAGTTTTGGGAAATTAAAATGATTCCTGTAGTTCACAAGTAAATTATAGTTCACACCAGGGGCGGATCTAGGATTTTCTCGAGGGGGAGGGGGGCGGATTTTCAAAAAAAAAATTGAAAATCTTGTGGACTATTTTTTTTAGGTCGACCAAATTGAGTTTCCGTGCGCCCCCAGAACACTATAAAGACCGATCGTAAGATCAGAAAGTGAATAGCCACTCTCTAAGGCGAGTTTGAAAGAAGAGTTCGCATACAGGGATACCCAATAACAAGAAAACAAAAAGTGTCTTTGTTGTGAAAAACGATAACGGCGTATACGTTGAAGGGCACGATCTATACGGCACAGTAAAGAGGCAGATTCCTCAGCGATCAAGACAATAGAGGATCATGACAAAACTTCTGGAAAGATTAAGATATTAAGATATCAAGAAAGATTAAGATATTCAGTGTTATAAAAAACTGCTCGAAAAAAGAGATAAGAAATCTATCCGAGGACTGTGGCTCATTCTAAACAGTAAAAGAGCCCCAGTAGTACGTGCAGGGGCGGGTTTAGGGGGGGAGCGAACATTCTTTCCTCAGGGATTCGACCACCTGCCGACCCAAAGGGTCCCTCATTTGGTACTTTTTAAGAAATCCATTTTTGGCCTACCGACCCTAAATTTTTTCTAAAGGCGCCTTTGGCGCCAATATATACTAACTTTGAGGGGGAGCGCGCGCCAAAAAAACTTGATTTTTTGTCAAACGGTGTTTTTGACATTTTTTCAAAAATTAGCCTGCGGAGCAAAAAATTTGGCCAAAACAGCGTCTGTTTGGTGCTTTAGGAGAGCTCGGAAAATCAATTTGGTCGACCTAAAAAAAAGGTCGTCAAAATTTTCGACACACTTTTTGAAAATCCGCCCCCCCTCGAGAAAATCCTAGATCCGCCCCTGAGTACGTGGATCAATTGAGCAATCTCCCACATTCTCCCGTGGGAGGGGGGGTTTGGGAGATAGCTCAGTAGGCACATGATACATTTTTATAACCATAGTTTGAATGAGATGTAATAGTGAGCCAAATTCTCGAACTTTACAATATCAAAACTGAAAATTACTTCAGAGTAGACTGCACATTAAGCAGAATTTTTGTCTAAAAAAATGCTATTGCGAATGTATTTAAGGTGCTGCCGAGAACCGTTTTTTTTTCTAGTCCTTTTTTTGTTTTTCTAGTCATTTTTCTGCACAAATTTTTGTTTAATTTGCCTATGTTACTATGTCTGTCAAAAATGCCTAAGCTATAGTTTTACTTCAGATACTTTTATCACAACACTCTGAAAAAACTCCACTAATTGGAAAAAAAAACATCTTGGTCAGAACAGTAACCGGCCATTCTTGTTTTTTTTCTCATTGGTGCAAAAAGCCTAATATGTTTAGAAAAAATACTAATCACAATGCTACTCACCTGCATGGGCATTCAGACAAGTCAAACCCTGTTCACATCAAACCATAGAAGGCATTGATAAATATTTGATAGATGATGTTATAAGTAATGATGCGCGTACTGAACGCAGATCCCTATTATGTGTTCCATTTTTCTCACATTTTTTTCATAACCGTCATATTTGAGACATTAAACTAAAACTATGAAAAACTTTCAGTTTTGGATTATTCAGACTTTGGAAAGTGGGTTTTCAGGTTGGATTTAACAGAAGTGATTAAGTCAAATACGCAAAAAATCAGACTTTTTCCAATTTTCTAAAACCTTTTGCTAACAATTATTCGAGAAAAAATGTGATTTTGAGTCCATGTTTATATAGGTCGCGGCAATTTTTTTCAGTATAAGTATTGAAAGTTCCTCAGGCTGAATTTCACGGTTTGATCAAAAGTTCAGTTATTTTCTTTGATAGAAAGAAGGCAACATTTGCCATCGCACAGCAAAAATTTAAAAGTCAGTAAGAAACTTGATCGATTTCTAATTTCAAAAAGAGAATACAATTGTCAGATTTCCCACCATTACAAAAATTTTACATTTTGGTCCAGTTTTCTCAATTTGGGTTAATTTTATCGAAATATTGCCTATCAAAATATGGTTTTAGAAATTCAAAGAGCCTTGAAGCAATCTATTTTTTGATCAGAAAATTGAAAATTGAGATATTTTCAAAAAAACAAGTCAGCTTTTTGCTGTGTACTTGAGTTCATTGACTCTTTTCCTACTGTGTTTCGGCCATTGTCTTTTATCCGAACAAAACGAATTGTTTTTAAACAGTTTTTTGACAGAACGGTAATAGTGTTTAAGTTTTATAATTTTATAAAAAAAATTAAACACGTTTGTTTGTTTCAGAAGAACATGTAGTTTCATATAACCTCTTGATTTATAATTTATTTCAAAAAATGATGATATTTACAAACAATCAGACAGTCAGCTATATGAAATAAACTGCTCTTGACATCCTTTAGCTAACTATATATTGAAAAGTTAAAACAAAAAGTTAATTGGTAGAAGTAAAATTTCTGCATCCTCAGAGCAATTTGTCAATGGTACTGATTTAAGTTTCAGTTAGCGAGTAGTTTAATTTTCTTTTACGAGAAGTGACCTGTGTTATTTCTATAGATATGGAATTCCAGTTTTCAACGCGGACTCTTGCAGATGATGTTTCGTTTTTTTTTGGTGTTTGGTCAATTTGGAGTTTCACTTGTAGAAATCTTTTATTTCTAAGCAGCTCAAGTGTTCCGTGGAAAAAATTTTTAATTGATTTTTTTTTGAGAAAAAACATTGCCTGATCATGAAATCAACAAACGAACAAAAACTTTGACAGGTCAGAAATAAAAAATTAGCCCATCCTTAATTAGAAAGCGACAGAGAGGAACAAAATAACTTGGACTACTAGAGTTGAAAACAAAACGAAGTTTGCGAGAGTTAAAAACCTGAATCAGAACCGGAGATACGCCATCCATCGAGGCTGCAAAATTTTGCAGCTACACCTGCAATTCACTCTAGAAAAACTAGATAAACAGAGTAAAACCTTATTTTTAGTTGCAAAAGTACAGTGCTGATTTAAATTAACCGGACAAAACGCGTTAAACTTGAAATTTAAAACCCGTTTTTCTCAAATTGGGTTGAGTTTAGGTGAAAACTTATGAAGACAAAACTTGCTTAAAACTTTAGCTAAATTAATATGGTGTAATTTATTTTGCGAAATTGGGGCCCGAAATTTACCCCAAAAATGGGTCAGTTTGGCTTTTCTTAGTTAATCAAAAATTACGCCAAAAATACCCAGTCGATCACAGACATAATTATATCAAAGAGAGCGCCTTACGTAGTTCAAGAAACTTTAAGAAGGGTATATTCTCAAAAAAGAATTGCAAATTGTTCAAAAATTGTTTTTAAATAAAAAGTTAGTATTTTATATAGTAAAAACTACCTTTTTTGTCTATCAAACAAAAATTAATTAATTTATACAAGGTTTTGGAGATTATACCCTTCTTAAAGTTTGTTGGGCTACGTAAGGGGCTCACTTTAGTATAATCATGTCTGTGATCGACTGGGTTATTTCAGCGTAATTTTTGATCAAGTAAGAAAAGCCAAAATGACCCATTTTTGGGGTAAAATTTCGGGCCCCAATTTCGCAAAATAATTACACCATATTAATTCTGCTAAAGTTTTTGTCTTCATAAGTTTTCACCTAAACTCAACCCAATTTGAGAAAAACGGGTTTTAAATTTCAAGTTTAACGCGTTTTGTCCGGTTAATTTAAATCAGCACTGCAGACTCTCGAAAACAAACCACGTGTGGATGTTACCAAAAACCCACTGATACCGGCAATAATTTTTTAAAGAAGCTGCGCCTCTTTTACTGAAAGCTTACAGAACCGAACGTTCAACAGGTTTTAATAAGTACTTCAATCTGAAAACGACAAAGGATTTAAGCAAAACCGGAACCGAGGGGTTGATAACCATTTTTCGTACGAATGACCGGATATGGTTTTAGCAACATCATTGAAGGGAAAAAGGAAAGAGTTCGGCCTCAAAACGAAGAAACGAGAACTTTTCACTTCCATTCTTACCGATCAAAACCCAATCCAATGATCTCAAATAATAGCTGCTAAACAGCGTCCGGGCCAAAAATATCCTGGTCAAAAACTTTTTCATTGCCAGAAAAATAACCAGGCAAGTTCATTTTCAGTCACGGCTGGTTTTTTGCCACCTGAAATTTTTTTGGCTAATTTAGATTTTTGTCTGTCTGCTTATTTTTGTCGGATTAATTTCGCTGAAAAAAAAACATTTATGAGTATTCGAATCAGGGGCGGATCCAGGATTTTCTCGAGGGGGTGGGGGGGGGGGGGGGGGGGGGGGGGTTGGCGGATTTTTAAAAAAATTTCGAAATTTTTATCGACGTTTTTTTCAGGTCGACGAAATTGACTTTCCGAGCTCTCCTGAAGCTCTATAGAGACCGTAGATAGACCAAATTTTCGGGCACT